GTGTGTGTGTGTGTGTGTGTGTGTGTGTGTGTGTGTGTGTGTGTGTGTGGGGGGTGCTCTCCTCCAGGGAAGATCATCTCCATAGAAACTAGTGCTTTGCGAGCGACGGGCCGGCCTGGCTGGGAGGACCTGGTCAGGAAGTGCATCTTCGCTTTCTTTCAGACGCAGGGCAAAGAGCCCTCCCACGCCAAGAAGCTGCTGCATGAGGGTGAGCAGCCACGATCGATTGTTCAGCTTCACTCCCAGAAATCATTGACAGGCTCGCTGCCAGCTTTGTCATGGTTACCACAGTTTCAGCAACTACTAGTGGAAACTGCTCGTAGTGATCACACCTGTCCTGGTCAACGTGATCACTACGAGCGGATGGTTATTACAGCTGGTTTTGTTTTTGTTGTCACAGAGATTACACCGCTTTAGCTGACATTTGGATATTTATTAAGGGCTCGCATTGGGTGAGGTTTTGCCGTTTTTCGGCCAGCTCTGTGTCACTGCAGCGGGAGCGGTGCATGCAGATGAATGGCGCCCTTTGACCGGGGCGCCTCACACACCCGGTGAGCGGCGTGGAGGGAGGTGGTCGCTGTTCATCGGTACGTGCTGCGCTGCGGTGACATGGACCCAGTCGAGGATCAGCACAGTTTCTTTTGGGGGCCTTACGTAACCAGACATTACCAATCCACGTGATTAGGGCGGCTTCACCGTGCTCATTAGGTCTTTTTCCTGCATGATGTCAATGTGCAGGCATCACAAGCCACAGGTAGCCAGCTGGAAAGCGGAGACGTTTTATTAAAGTTAGCTTTTGTAGATTTCAAATGTTTTCCCGTATGTTGTCATGTTTGAAAAGATCCCAAATGAACGCTGTAAGAGAACTACTTGATTGTTATAAGCAAACTATTTTAACTGCATTCTTATAGGAATGATTCTGTCCCAAGCTTTTTGATCCATATAAGTAACTGTGATCACTGTAACTGGTTTCCACTGTACTTCCAAACCATTATAATATAGTAAATTAAAGTCTTAAAGCCAGCATCTGCACTGCATCAATATCAAAATCCTTTGTTCCAAAGTTGCAGTTTTTAGATGTGGATCCAGTAATCCGAACCAAAGTTAACACGAGAAGAAAGAAGAAAGCAAGAGATGAGACCAAAGTGTAAACCCGGTGTTTGCCTCTTTCTCTTGTCCCGTGTGTGCATGTGTTGGTATCTCCATCAGTGATGACCCACGGCACCGCCATCAGCCCGTTGTACCATTTCACGTTAAGTGATGGCACCCCGCTCAGCGCTCAGACCCGCTGCAAGTTCTGCTGCCCCCCCCAACCCCGACGTTCAGCCCTTCATTATGGGCATTCACACTATTGACAGGTACGATCCTTTTTGTAGCTGATTTTTGCAGTTATTTTTCCACATAGTCCCCCCGGGTCACAGTTGTCTTTTCTTTTCCTCCAGGGAACACAACACTGCTAGCTCTCAGGAAAACACTAACCCCAGCCTTCCACCGGCCCTCGGCAGCCTTGCCCAAACTCCCTCCCGCTCCCCTTCCCTTCCTCCCGGCAGCAACTGGACCCAAGGCTCAGGCCTCTCCACCTCGGGCCTTCACCCCAACAACACCAACACCTCCCCCAACGGACATATTCCAGCCACACCCACAGGCTACCTGACGCCCAATCGGACCTGTGGACAGGTCAACAGCCCCTCTCCTTTGAGCAGCCCACTCATGGCAACCCCTGCCTCTTTTACGTCACCCAGGATGCCACGAGCCAGTCCTGGGTTAGGCGGAAGCCCTCGGGTACCGGGGAACCCCTTCTCTCCTTCCACACCGGGCCTCCACTCCCCAGCTGGGGAACTAAGTAGTGGAGGCAGCCTCAACAGGCAGCAGTCTGGTGGTGATGGTAGTAGCGGTGCCAGCGGTGGGTCAACTGGCTCTTTCTCCCTTTCCTCTCCTGTCCTTCAGAGACAAGCCAGTACACCCACTCGGCCTCCATCTGCCAAACCGCCAGAGGGAGGAGAAGGGGGGGGAGAGAACTCTGTTAAAGCACCTCTTCCTTCTGTCTCACAGCTGGGTAACCCCAGACTCAATCAGCTCCTGGAAATCAGTGGGACGGGAGCTGAATCCAACAACAACAACAGGATCCACTGCAACTCATCACCTCATCCTTCTAACCCTCAACCTGCCCCTCAGTGCCCTGCCTCTCACAGTTCTCTAACTGAACGGCATAAGATCCTGCACCGGCTGCTCCAGGACACCAGTCCCCACGATACCTCCACCACCACTGAGGAAGGACTAAACAAAAACGACGTTGAGATCAAGAGGGAGTCGCCTGCCAGTCCGGCTCTGACCGCAGCACCTCCCAAGTCCAGCTCCAGGGAGCCACAGGACCACCAACTGCTCCGTTTTCTGCTGGACACAGATGAAAAGGTGACCACTAAAAACGTCCTTTGTATTTCTTCATTTAATTTGTATGTATTTCAGGCTCTTTTCTTCTTAATTAGAAAAGAAAATAGTGAAAATCTGTTCATGGCACAATACTGAAATAGACTGTGTTAGCCTTGATCTATGTGAATGAAGTATCTTTCATTGACTTAATAAATATTAAATTCCACATTATTTGTCCTCATGAGTCATCATGATGCCATGACAACTACTAACGGAGAAGCACTGTGTTTTCAAAGGACTTGGGGGACCTGCCTCCTCCATCTGCTCTCAGCCTGCAGTCAGTGAGGGTCAAAGTGGAGAAGAGAGCCAGCGTGGATGGAGTGGTCTGCACTGGGTCCACTGTTGCAGCAGGAGGTGCTTCCAAACCGGCGGGAGTGTGCAGCAGCTCAGCGTGCACCAGCCCCAAATCAAGCCCCGTCAGAGAGAAGCGCCGAAACACCCGCAGGGACAGCCGAAGGGACAGCCGAGACTCCACGGTACGGTTGTTGTCAATGTCGTTGTGATCTGTAATAACAGTAGTAGTAGTATCACACCAACATGACCAGTGACAGCATTGTTCTATTCATTGAGCTTAAACAAGCAACTTATCAAGTTATATGTTTATTTTCTTGGACTTTGTCTCGACTGTAGGCTCAGCTACCAGCTGCAGCCTTTGAAGCTCACTGGCCTCTGACCGTTTGTCTCGGTCCGTCTCTCTGTCACTGATCGCCTGCCACCCATTATTCTTTCATTCTTTACCTTTTCATGCCATCCATTCTTCCATCCTGTCTTTTTCCTCGTCACTATCCCCTTTTTCATTTGTTTCTGCTCCACTCTCCATTTCCCGCCCTCAGATGTCTGGTGGCTCTGTTGACATGGACCCTCTCACCCAGCTGCTGCCTGGCTTGAGAGGCCCAAGTGGGGCCAAACAGAGCAGTGAGGATTCAACCCCTGGAGGAGGCCCCCAACTCCACTCTCCGGCCTCTCAGCCCCCAGCTCAGCTCCAGTCCCCCTTGCCTCAGCTCCAGTCCCCCCTGCCTCAGCTCCAGTCCCCCCAGTCCCTTCCCCAGTTGCAATCGCCGTCACCCCAGCTCCACTCCCCTTCTCCCCAGCTCAAACTGCAGTCCCCCACTCAGCTCCAGCCCGGTGAGGCCAGCACTCCCCGCAATGTAAATGTGAAGAGAGAGCCTCCCGGCACTCCTAACAGAGGTAAAGTTTCAACTTAGCAGGAAGGGGGAGGGTGGTCATGCAGAAGAGGGAATAATAATAAACTACCTACATACAACCTATGGACAATGGTACAGAAGACTATTAGGACCAGGCCTAAGGGGAAAAGGAGAAGAGGAAGATTCTTTCTTTATTATTATTTTGCATTTCAAGAAAAAAAGTAATTCTCTATTATTATTATTATTATTATTATTATTATTATTATTATTATTATTCTCAATATTTCATCTTTATTCTTAACATTTCGATTTTATTCTGGAATTCCCCCCCAAAAAAAATCCTCCTTACTTTTGTTAGTAGTATTAATATCAAGTGTAGTTGTATGACCCAGAAAGCTTCCTTTATTTATTTATTCATTCACTTATTTACTGACACATTGTTAGTCTGTGTGCCCCCTAGTGGCTATTGGAGGCATTGCCATGTCAACAGACCATACATACTATAACCAAAATAGTTCAACAGTGCAGAAAGTCATAAAGTTAAAGTCTTTGTATCAATATTAAACAATAAAGGTTTATGCTTCATTGTTTTTTTTTATTTGGTTTGACCTCATTTTTTGTGTGCATGTGTTTGTTTCCCAGGACTCGGTGATGGCGGCCCATCCTCCGGTTGCAACTTCCAGAGTCAGTCAGCCTTTGACTTCTGCAGTCCCCCCACTCCAAGCCAGGCACAGAACCAGGGACAGGGAGACCCCTTCCAGACCCCCAAAGACAGCAGCCTCTTCTCAGAGGCAGAAGTTATCAACCCTTTCAGTTCAAGCACTGGTATGCAACAAAACATAATACACACACACACACACACACACTTTGCAGCTTTGCAGTATACTGTAGAAAACAGCAGCACAATAGGATGTTATTGAAGCGAAGCGAAGAAATGGCATCAAAAGCAGGATTTTAAACTGATGTTAATTACCTTTTTTAAGTTGGCAAAGTGCTAAATCCTGTAAATTAATTTAATTATACTTGTTGAATCTACTTATTTATGATTTTTTTTCTATTTTCTATTGCAATAAAACTGTGTTAAAATCTCATTCAGGCCTGTCTAAGATGGATGTGGGAGACTCTCCGTTCCAGCCTCTGTGTCTGTCTGACAGCTTGTCCTTTAATGGTCTTGGATCACCTTTACAAGCTCCCTTGGCATCGCCACAAGAGTAAGCAACACTGTACTCTCAACACCCAATCTGTTGTCATTTACAGGGTTGTTCCGGATGTCATTTATTTAACATTTAAAGCTTCTGTTGAGGTTTTCAACTGGAGCTTGCTTCAACCCGCTGACTCTCCAGTGTGGTGCAGGTGATGATGTACAGTGTTTCTCTGTGTGAGCAGGCAGTGTGTGCCCTGTACGCTGGATGAGGTGCTGGGCCCTCCGACCACACCTGAGGGCCGGAACGACGAGAAGGCTCTGTTGGAGCAGCTCGTCTCCTTCCTCAGTGGGACTGATGAGAGTGAACTGGCTGAGCTGGATAAGGCCCTGGGTATCGACAAACTGGTGCAGGCAAGTGTGTGATTTAAAGATTTTGATACTTGAGAGAGCTGGGCAGCAGATGTGCACGAGTTATATAGCCCGAGGTGAAGCCCTGCTGGACTGCTTTCAAGTAAAACAGAAAGTGTTTTTACTCAACTTAACTCCGGTTATGCTGCTCTGACCACATACTTCCAACTTTAGCTTCAGATTACAGCCTGTTCAGAACGTCTATATGTGACTGTCACAACGATGGAGATGCCGGGCCGTCTGTGAATCACATTTACATAGAAGCAACAGAAATATCACAAAACAATAATTAAGCAGAAGGTTGTTTTCATCAAATAAACGAATCATTAATGTCCGGTCCTATTTGTATCTGCCTCTTCCCAGGGAGGCTGTTTTGACCCATTGACCCAAAACTTCCCGACCCAGCAATCCACTGCCACCTCAGGTTCCATGGACCCTAAACTCCCCGCGTACCCTTCCCAATTCACACCAGCCCCACCGGCTCAGTTTCCTCCAGAGCTGACCACGGTGGTGGGGCAGCAGGGTCTCGGGTTTGGAGCCCCCCGGAGGGCTTTCCTCGGCGGGACGGCGGGCGTCGGGCTGAGGCCAGGCGTGCCACGACCGCAGGGGATTGGTGCTCAGCTCAGACTGCCACCCAACCAACTGCGCCTGCAGCTGCAGCAGAGGCTGCAGGGCCCACAGCAGGTGAGGAGGTGGTGGAGGTTTGTCTCCGTTTTGTTTGTCATTACGACTTTATTCCGTTTGGGATGGAAGATGTTGCTGTTTGTGTTGCTTTTGCGACATACTTTCTTTAAAGTGTACAGTTATTAAAGTGTTCATTCAAGGGCCGCTGACAAAACAGTAATGTACAAACAAATGAGAGAAAGGAACACTTTTGAGTTGTTTTCATACTTTCTTTGCTCTTAGTGCTTTCATATAATACACCCACTTTACTCATTATGCACCAATCAATAGGCAGCTGATCGGAACCGGATGATTTTCATCTGATTGGCAATGACCGGTCGATGTGTTCAAGCACTGCTCAGTAAAACTGAGTATTGGGAGAATGCATCACTTCTCAATTACTCCGGGCTGTGAATGACAAATACTGAGATGTAATGAATAGCACAAAGTATTGACTTTTGGCTTCCTGTGTTAGAATGAATCTTCATATGTCATAGTAGTTCTTGTGATTTCATTTTCTAAATATTGATTGAAATGCTCTTAAAAGAACTCCCCACTTCCCTTTCCTCCACCATCACTAATATTCAACTTATCTCCGTCTTCTCTTTGGTCGATGATCTTATTTCTTCCTCTTGTCTTATTATATCCTGCCCTCCTCCCTTCGCTCTATTATCATCCCCTCCTCGCTCATCCTTCAGCACCTTTCTGACCTCTGCTTATTTTTCTCTGCCTCAGCTCCAGAACAGGATGGCGGGCATTAGTCCGTTTCCAGGAGGAGCCCAGCATGTGAACATAGGGCTGCGTCAGGTTCAACAGCCTCAAATGCCCTCACAGGTGAGTCACAGTGGCAGCGAATGAATCTCGGCTCACCCTGACCACCCACTGCTGTTTTCTTACAGACCCGGTGTAGGTACTTTACTCTGTGTGTGTGAGTGACCTCTTGAATAATGCGCCGTGATGTATATTTACTTTAAAAGATAGGGAACGAGTTCCCCGTAACATGCTCTTCTCCATCATATGTCTCAGCAGCCTCCGCTGAATGCCCAGATGCTGGCCCAGCGTCAGAGGGAGCTCTACAGCATCCAGCATCGCCAGCGCCAGCTTTTCCAGCAGAAGGTCATGCTGATGAGACAGAACATTGCAGGCGCTCCGACTGGAGTCGTGGGGCCCACCGGAGGAACAGCCAGGCCCCCGAATGGTCCATTGCCAACGCCTCAACAACAACAGCAGCAGTTCAACTTCCCACCAGGGTACAACCCTTTGACGGGAAAATCCCCTACCTCACCCAGTAACTTCAGCCCCATGACCGGGGGCCCTCTGGACAACAAACTGCCCGGCAGAGTTCCCCTGAATAACCCGGCGCTGATTGCCGGCGTGCAGGGCCAGTTCAGCACCACCGTGAACGCCACATTGCCGCAGGGCCTGTTTCAGCAGTTTGGAGGGTCTGGTGAGTTCTAGGAAACATGCTTCTCCAGACCAGACTGAGAATCCCCTACATTTTAATATTAGATTAGTGTTGCACGGGACACTTACACTAGAAAAGTATCGCAAAACCCTGATGTTTAAAGGGTACTATACCCCATTTTATTAGTACCAGTACTTAAAGACGGCAGTGTTTATGAGAGGCCTCGATGTGCAACAGAGGTGTGAAAACACAGCTTGGTCAAAAGATGAAGGCAAAGTAACAAAATGCGCAGCAATGCTTAGTGCAGAAAGTAGAACATTTTAACAAGTACTTATGAAATGACAACTTACCAGCACGTTTTTTTTTTAACAGAAAATAAGTCTAAATTGCCAAAGTACTTTTCCAAAGTAAATAAAAAACTATAAAGTTATATGACTGACCTAACTTTTTGCTTTTCCTCTTTCAAAGCTATCTCCCAGCAAGACCCACCTTACCCCCCTGAGATGAGCCCGACCAGCCCGCTGTTGTCGCCTCAAAACCCCACCTCCCAGAGTCCTTTGCTTCAACAAGCCCCACCCCCTGGCTACCAGTCACCAGAAATGAAGAGCTGGCAACAGACAGGCATGGGGAGCAACAGGTGAGGACGTGTACACAGTTGCAAGGCTTGCATTGGGTTAAAATCGCCCGTTGATTGCATCGGTGTATTTAAATGAGACCTCGGTGTAATGTGCTGTCGTCTCTCACCGTTTCTGCGCTCTGCAGCCTGTTCAGTCTGTCAGGACAGAGTGCGGTGCAGGCTTTTGGCCAGCAGGGGGTTTACAACAACATGAGCATCACCGTCTCCTTGGCCGGGGGCTCGGGTGGTGTCGGCCCGTTGTCTCCCATGGGGCAGCCGGTTGGCATGAGCAACAGTAACCTCAGCAACGTCGGCTCGGTGTGCAGCGACCAGCAGGTTAGTGACCTCGAGGCTCCGGGACGTTACTGTCCTGATGGGTTGCTGTCTCCTATTTTCCTCCATCTTTTCCGGTTTTATCATGCAATGTGATAGCAGCTATAACGAATATCAAGTAGTAGAATACTAGAGCTCAACCAATACATCAGCATGGCCTATATTATCAGCTTATGACAGATATATTAATATCTGTGTACATATCGGCAGATGAGAACATTTTAATGCAGAAATTTGGGATTTTAGCTCGGTATCGGACCGAAATAACCCAGTACCAAGTAGTATCGAAACTTCTCCGGTTAAACAATACCTGCATCTGATCTTTATTTTGCCCAGATCTAGAAAAAGATTGTATTTGTATGGTTTTGCTTGCACCAATCGGTATCAACCTCAATCAGTCCTCCAGCATCCGTCGGGCACTTACGAAGACGAGGCTCTAAAACATTGAACTGTTCCCTTTTCGGGTCCCCGTACCATTGTTGTTTCTGTAGGTGCAGCAGGTTCAGGTGTTCGCGGACGTCCAGTGCACGGTGAACCTGGTTGGCGGCGACTCCTACCTGAACCCGGGCCCCATCGGAGCGGCGGCCTCCCAGAAGGGCCCCGGCGTGCCGCAGGGCTCCCAGAACAACCAGGCCCAGCAGAAGAGCCTCCTCCAGCAGCTGCTCACCGAGTGACGACCCTCGACCCCCTTCAGCTCTCCTGTACTCCCTCTACTTCTCACTTCTACGCCCCCTCTTTGGAGGCCGGTGCACCGGACCCCATTGCTGTCTCTGTCTCACCTTTTTGGATGGATGGATGGATGTTTGGACGACCACGCGAGTAGGGCGCTCGGAGCAGTTTGGCTGTTGGTGGAGTTTTGCAGCCGAACCGCTTGTTTCGCGCAGGGTGATTCGGGGCTGGTTGTTTTACCGCCCAGTACTTAAAAGAAAAGAAAAAACCTCGAGTCAGAAGGAGCAGCAGTGTATTTAAACCTGCCTGTCTAATCTGTCTGACAACCTGTCTGTCTGCCTCAGCCTATTTAAAGGCAGTGTTGTCTTGCTGCTCATTCCTTGGTGACCTACTTCCTGACCCAAGAAAACAACTGCGACATCATTGTAGATTTGCCAAGTTGTCGTCACTGTCAAATCAGGACCGGCCTCCTTTTTTTGTTTGTTTGTTGTCCTCTGATGGGACGGTTTCTGTCAGGCCGTCGTCGCAGCAGCAGCAGTGCATCTTGGGAGCATGAGTCGCAGCATACAGCTGAGCTCATCATTTTAAGTGTGGGGGTATCCCACACAGCAGCACCTCTGGCTTTTTTTAAAAAAAAGTCTTTGTTTGTTTGTTTTGTTGTTTTCCTCTACCTGTCTCTCAGCGATGTGGGAATGTTAAGGTTTCAGACCTCTGTTGCATTGTGGGATAGAAGCTCAGTATCAGCTGGTTCTGTGACTGTCTCTCTCTATCAGCCACGATGCCTGGTGGAAGTTTGAGTTTTTCCCAAGCTCTGCTTCTTCTACATATTATTCTATTAACGTCTTCTGTTTTATTTTTTGGTTGAATTGTTTTGTTTAAAATCTTCTGCTCTCACCGTCGTCATCATCATCTTCTTCTTCACGATCTTCAGAACAAGCTTTGACAACAGCCAGAATGGATGGATTGATGGATGGATGGATGGAAGACAGACGGGATGCTGCTCAGTTTGGAACTTACGTGTCTTTCTCCCCCCGGGAGGAGGTTTTATTATTATTTTTTATCAAAGTATATTAAAAAAAAAGAGACTGTTATGATTATTTAACTGTCTGTCCGTCACATTTTACCCCTCACCTCAGCAGCTGTGAATACAGAGCCCGTTGGGTTCGTTCTCTCTTTGTCTGTCTCTCTCTCTCTCTCTCTCTCTCTCTCTCTTTCTCTGTCT